GGTTTATTGGGCACATGTTGCACTTTTGGAGGGAAAGAGGAGAGAGATTCCATGAGAAACCCTAGGACGAGAAAACACGAGACACCCAAGGGTTTTAGGCTCTCAAGGCTGCAAAATACTGACTGCAGTGGGGTTGGTCACGGTAGGAAGACCTCTACCAGGAGCATTTGAAGGATGGGGCCCTTATGCTGGAAATCATACTGCACATGTTCCAGTGATCTCTCTGGAACAAGGTTTGCCCTGATTTTTTGTTTCAGGCCCTAGATCCCTTACTACTGGTACAGGGACCCTTGCTTAGATTCACAGGTTTCAACTGATCAATAAATTGAGGTCAGGAACCAATTTTATGTAGAACAGCAGTTCTCTAGCTTTTCAGTGTCTGGACCTCTCCTTAAGCAAAAGAGAGAGATTTTCATGGGCCCACCTCAACTTCCCACCTCTCGGTCCATGGTGGCTTAGGGATTGAGATGTGCCCCTTGTTACAGAAGCACCAGGAAGGGATCCACAGACTGACTACATGAGCCATAGTTTGAGAACCACTATACTAGGAAGTCCTGGTAGGGAACTTCATCTAGAGAAGTGAGCAGGGATCATCCCTTGGGATTAGATGGATGTATCCATGTGGTCAGTTTCCTATGACTGTAGGAAGGTGGGCACTGGTGGAGATCAACCCTGAAAAAAGTTCTTTTACTTTTCAATAAGGGATCTCACTGTGCCCATGGAGACACGGCAGGGATGATCCATTGAGCAGCTCTTAACTGAAGCAATTCTGTGTTCTTCACTGGAGTTCTTGATAATAATATCTTACTGAAGTGCAGGGAGGGAATTTCAGGGAAATAATTGCAAGAGGAAGAATTCTGAAATCAGTTCAGTGATGGACCATTTCTTTGAAGGTTGAAATTGTACAGGTAACAAGGTTTACCTACCAATGCTGAGAACACATTTTTATGCAGAATTTAGAATTTATTTAGAATTTAGAATTTTAGATTTATTTTTTTAAAGAAAAGCTCAGGAATGGGTATGACGATTAAGTCAGTTAACAAAGCTGAACAGAAAGAAGTTGAGCAAATAGCTCTGGCTTATTCAGCCTTTTCTATGGCATGGTACGAATGTCCCCTCCAATGTATGAGAGATACTCCTGTTCAGAGCACATTGCTATGAAGATGGCAGAGCTACCACTCCGCATCCCCACCCCGCGAGCCCCCAGAAGTAACACTGGCTCAATAAGCTAGAATTCCTTCCCAGGACTCCATCCACAACCTGCCTCCTCTACATCCCTGCCTGAGAGTGCCAGGGCAGAAGCTTGCCCTTAAGTAGAGACGGGCTCAAAGCAGATCCAAATAGCCTAAACTTTGAGAAAGCTGAATCTGAATCAGGCCCATATGAAGCTTTAATAATAATTAACAAAACGGGATTGATTTTGTGTGCCCAATGTTATTGAAACTGCACACCTCTTCAGCTGAAAAAAAACCAACCCAGAGAGGTATACCTGACTATAACCATAGCTTTGTCAATGGTTACCACACATGATGGCATCACTGCATAATGTTTAACTTTAAATTATCGCAAAACTCATTCCCAGCAACACCCTTTGTGTTAAATCTGCAAGGCCCAAAATTAATGGTGCATTTCAGCCATGGGCTGTAAGTCTCAGTGACAATCTAGTAATGAATGTCAAACAAACCAGAGTTAGCTGTTTTGTTACAAACAAAGCTAAAGTGCAAAGAGTTTTCCAGCTATGCTTTAGCAATAACAATTCTATGCATCTATCCTTGGTATCTAAGCAAATTTACCTATCCATAGCAAAGCCACATGGATCTTTGGTTTCCAGATACCTTTTGCTCACATTATTGTTACATTATTGCAGAAAGGGATCTGGGGGTCATAGTGGACCACAAGCTAAATATGAGTCAACAGTGTAACACTGTTGCAAAAAAAGCAAACATCATTCTGGGATGTATTAGCAGGAGTGTTGTAAGCAAGACACGAGAAGTAATTCTTCCACTCTGCTCTGTGCTGATTAGGCCTCAACTGGAGTATTGTGTCCAGTTCTGTGGGCCACATTTCAGGAAAGATGTGTACAAATTGGAGAAAGTCCAGAGAAGAGCAGCAACAATGATTAAAGGTCTAGAAAACATGACCTATGAGGGAAAATTGAAAAAATTGGGTTTGTTTAGTCTGGAGAAGAGACGACTGAGAGGGGACATGATACCAGTTTTCAAGTACAGAAAAGGTTGTTACAAGGAGGAGGGAGAAAAATTGTTTTTCTTCACCTCTGAGGATACGACAAGAAGCAACGGGCTTAAATTGCAACAAGGGAGGTTTAGGTTGGACATTAGGAAAAACTTCCTAACTGTCAAGGTGGTTAAACACTGGAATAAATTTCCTCGTGAGGTTGCGGAATCTCCATCATTGGGGATTTTTAAGAGCAGGTTAGACAAACACCTGTCAGGGATGGCCTAGATAATGCTTAGTCCTTCCTTGAGTGCAGGGGACTGGACAAGATGACCTCTTGATGTCCCTTCCAGTCCTACGATTCTAGGATTCTTTGAATTTACGTGCTGCACATTAATTGAAAAATTGGTGCCATTCATACACACAGCTTTACATGCACAATATACTGTGCTCAATTTTATTTTTATTATTCTACCATAGCACCAAGGAGCCCTAGTCTGAGTATAAGGCAAGAGACGACAGATGGCTACAGGCAGATGGAGGCGCACAAGGAAACAATGAACCAATATTGCTCAGCATGATCAGCTCTGGTCTCACTATACCAGTGGTCTAACTATTGTCAAGTTTTTTGTGGGCATCATGGCAAAAGCGAGTTTTAGGGAGGGTTTTGAAAGAGAACAAGGAGGGAGCTTTGTGGATGTTTATGCGGGGCTCCTCCCAAGCATGATGGGTAGCATGGGAGAAAGCATGAAGTTGATTTTTTGAAAATTGAACCAGAAAGTAATGGAGGCTGGGATCATGGGCTGGCTGGAGGTGAGAGCTGACCTCTCGATACTGAATGAGAGATGATGGGTAGGGTGGGGCTAGGCCAGGAAGGGCCTCAAAAGTGAAGACAAGCAGCTCATGATTGATGTGACAGAGAAGGGGGAGAAAGTGGAGGGATCCAAAGAGAGGGATGACATGGACAAAGAAACAGACAAGTAAAATGGTCTTTGCAGCAGCATTCTGAATGGATATCAGCAGGGCAAGACTGCATTTGTGAAGGCCAAAGAAGGACATCTGAGAACATGGGTCTAACGGGACTTGCAAACTCCAAGCATTTACTGTCCTATGACTCTCCCCTGGGCATAAATTGTGGTTCTTTGGTGTGAATTTACATTCTGCAGTGGTCAGATCAGCAGCCCCATCAGAATGGCTAATAGATCCTGCTACACCAGAAGGAAGAATGTGCCACTGGGCTGCGTCATCTGAAGATAGCAGCCACCTGGAGTGGGTAGGAACAGGCTGAAGAAGACTCAACCATCTTAACATTACATATGTATTAGGTACACTGAAGTGGGTCTTACATCTTCCTCTGAAGCAGCTAGCATTGGCCACTGTCAGAGACAAGCTACAGACACTGACTAGACTGCACCCTGTCCTGTCCTGGTATGGAGAAAGGATGGGTTTATGGTTAAGGCATTGGCCTGAGAGTCACCTGGTGGGGGCTTGATTCTGAGCTTTGCTACAGACTCCCTGTGACTTGTTAGTTACTTGGTCTCTCTCTCTCTCTCTGCCTCAGTTCCCTATCAGTAAAATGGGCATACTTTGACTATCTCCTCTGTCTAGGTTGTAAGCAGGTGCTGTCTCTAGCTATCTGTATGTACAGCACTCGGCTCAATGCACCACTGACTGGGTGGAGGTTTATTGTAATAATAATAATTATACAGTTCTTACGTTGCCTGAATTCACCAAACCTCTATGATCTGGAAAAGAGGGTTTGAAATTTCACACAAAACAGTTCTCATGATCTCTGTGTGGTGTTTCCCACTTCAGCTCTGCCTGGAGGCAGTGTGGAAATATCGTTTTTCCTGCTATTTAATTTGGCACTGCCATGTTCAAACCAGATCAGGATGATGCCAGTCACATGACAACGAAGAACAATCAACCAAACTTTTGACTCTCAAGGCTCGGTTTCATCTTGAGGGATGGGCACAGATTTGGGTTGGTTTATACTTTTGTCTGAATTGGATCACCTATTCCTACTTGGAATTATGCCAGAATCTGCCCTGAGAAAGGGGATGACAACCCCGGAGGCTCAAGAAATAGTTCTCAGTGCTTCTTTCACTGTTAGAAATTAAAGATCAATGGCACAATCCAAAGCTCTTCAAAGTCAATGGACATCTTCCAGTTTACTTCAGTGAGCTTTGGATCCAGCCCTAGAGGAAATGCTTTCCTTGTAGCTCTCACAGCTGAAGTACAGCCAATAAATGCATGCTCTTTCTGAGATCATGTGCGATACAATAATGGTACAAGGATAAAACCTCCAAAGCCCAAAGCATACAAACAAAAGAGGAATATGTATCCAAAAATAAGCCCTCTGTGCCATACCCTGCTCACTCTATTCTGCTGATGCACTGAAGCTGATGGAACTATCTGCCTGAGTCAAGCAAGCATGATTTCCCCAAGTTGATGTAAGCCAGCCATCCTTACTCTCTCTCTCTCTCTCATTGAAGTCAACAACATTACTTGTGTAAGGACTCTTCCTGCGACTTAGGCCTGCAGGATTTAGTCCTGTATTTGCAGCAGGTCCAGGTAAATGTACAATGTTGTGTTACTATGGAACCAGGCATTAGCAACAGGAGTTTTTGAAAGCTACAAAAGGATCGGAACATTTGCAAGGTGCCGACCTCAAACTAATATTCAGTTAGGACTCCTGGCTATTTGAGTGTGTTCATGCAAAGCAGCATTCATTCCCTGGCTATTATTCCAGAGTCACAAGGAACTATTGGATAATGTATTCCATTGCTCAAAGGACAATTTATAGGGATGTGTAAACGTTCCAGATCACATGTGATCATATAGCTGCAGCTATAAACAGAGCCTTACAAGGGTTTCTGTTGTTAACAATGTGGAGACCCAAAGCTCCGTGTCTCACCTGGCTGATCTCAGAAATTGGAGGCCTGTGTCTGACATTATTCCAGGTAACAAAATCTTTTACTGGGGTCAGACTTTGATTGATTTTAGGGCTCTGTTGAGCATGTTTTTATTCTTGGGATAACTTGGCAATAACAACATTTTAAAGATATTTGTAAAGGCCTGCCAAGTAGTTGGGATTTTATATTCACAACCAATTCCATCTAATGTACTGATATTTTTCTTCTAGTATATGAATCCTTTTATTCAATATATGGCTGTTGAAATTAGAAAGTGCATGTCTCCAGCTGAATTAGTAGGATTTCATTGAAGACAGTTTATCTATCTATCTACAGTGTTATTCAGGTATTTATGTGTGCCAGGAACATAAGGAGTGATGGCTTCACACTAAGACATTTAAAGAATGTGAAAGATAAGTCACATGTCTTCATTCAGCCATAAAAAGCACTCACAGCCACACGTGATCCTGGTGATAAATGGTGTTAGTTTTTTTCACCTGCTCTCCTCATAATTGGCAGAAGTGAGGCAAACAATTAAAAAATGATGCTCTACCATGTGTGTTTGACATGGCAGATGAGCGCAATTTGAAAAGGGCACATCTGGAAAAGTTCATTTTTCTTGGTCTCTTTCTGTTTCCCATTTCATTTTAAATCATCCATGAAATTTCATAGATAGTGTTTTATCTGAAGGATTCGTTACACACAGGGCCTTTTGTTATACCTGGGGACTGATTCTGTTCCTTTCAAGGTTAATGGCAATGCAGACAGGATTGGCCCATTATATAGATTTGTAAGATGATTTCTTGCTGTTTGGGGTGTTGCTAGCATTGTTCAACATAGCTTTTACACTGATCCCTGCTAATTAGAAATGTGATATGTGATCTGTCCAAATAGAAATCTGTCTTTTATGTAAAAGACCTTTTCGGTTTTGCCTCAAAGGAGAACACAAATTTATATGCCCGTCAGACACATGCAAAAAGAAATACGAAGTATAGTACTTATCTGCAAATTATACATAACTTTTTATCTATGCTCTAAATCTAATTTGTCTCATTTTATTTATACTGTACCATTATTTTACTGCAACTTGATATTTGATTGAAAGTTTTCTGCAACAGAGCTGGGAAAATATGTCCAAAAATTACCACTGATGTTCATTTGAGATTTTTAATGGATTTGATTCAGCTTGTGTTTTTCAACTGCTTTGTTCACTTTCCACATATAAGCTGGAAGATGCAGTTAGCGGCAGGACTGTTTGCCAGATTTAAGTGCATGTTATAAAATATTCCCCCAAAGCAACTTTCAGATTCATAGTTGCAAAGATTCACACCAAAAACCTGATTCTAAGAGTCGCACATTCCTCCAGTCATGGAACAGAAACATTCCAAAATGACTCAAATGACAAATACTGAACCTTCACAGTGCACTTCTTGCAAAGGAGCTACACACCCACAATTATTCACAGAAACTGTCCAGTAACCAATTTTGAATAACAAATCAATGCCAGTGTTGTAAACATTTCTGTTTATGCTTGTTCGTATCTCTTTGCTCTTGGACTTTGACTTGTCACTTAGCAAAAACATACTTCACCCACTAACACTAAACATCGTAACAGGGTGTCTTTCTCCTAGCTGTTATTAGAAAACTAAGGATCTGATCAAACTAGATGGGAGACTTTCTGCTGCCTTCCACAGGAGCTGGATCCGGCCATTAACAGAAAAAATTATGGGCCCAATCCAAGAACCTTTATCAAAAATATTAGTTTTCCTTACTTAGGCATACAAAATCAATGGGACTGCTCACACAAGTAACAGTCTCAAGATCAGGCCCCAACTTTGTCTGTAGGTGCTTTTCAGTTCAAATATAAAAGGATTCTACTAATAAGATACTGTATTTGCCCTGACTGATTTACATGTGTGTTTCAGTTAGCAGACTCTGATCCGAAATGTGACCCTGATGAAGCGTAAGTACTCTCACTCCACATTCTCACCGGTTTTTAGTTTGTATTTGGAATTTTACAGGCAATGCAAAGTAAGGAAAACACAAAATAATCTAGATGCTCTAAACATGAGTACCATGTGCATACCATTAATATAAAAAGGGATAGCAAGCATGCTAACCATGGCTGTTTGAGCTTAATTTTTCTTCAGACAGAGAGAGATACAAAGAGGAGATACCGAGCTGTTTCTTATGATAATGTATAATTTTGTTGTTTTGTTAACATAGAAAGAATGATTGTGATGTACAATATATTTGAAGGAAAACAGTTATACACATTTGCATTTAAACACATCCCATTAATTAAATGCTGTACTCCTACAAATTCATTAATGGTGCTGGTTCTTCCACCACTCAGGTTAAGGGCAGCACTTCAATTGATTTCATGTCCCAACATGTTGTCTGTTTCTTTAATTGCTAGGTGTGTTAATTACAACGAGGAGAGCCTCAGTACCTGGTATGTCTGGTGAGTACTGATCCATTCTAAAGACAGAATTGGCAAAAAAAAGTCTGTACTGATATATAGACAGGAAAGCTGAGTGAATAATTTAATTTGGGGTAGAACCAAAATTAAAGTATTTTTGGTTTTGTGAGGTCTGGGTTTTGTTTTGTGGTTTTTTATGGTTTTTGGATGTTGCTGCCCTTTAAAAAAAATCTAGCTAAATTTCTAAATAAAATAAAAATAAAATGCCATTTTGAAACGAAAAGTTGCCAGGTTTCATTTTGAAATTGTGGAACTGCACCATTTTGACTTTTTAAATTTTTTTTCATTTTTTATTTGACTGACAGTATTTGCCTAATTTGACCTGAAATTGCATTTTTCAGCAAATAAACTATTTGACTGAAAAAATTCACCCAGTTATAGATATGGAAAGAGCAATTGATAGCAAGGAACATTTCTCCTCACATTTCATCTGAATTTTCTGTGCTTAAGCCCACTATTTTGTGTTCTGACCTGACTGGATCATTTTTCCACATCCCCTTCACTGTTTGCGGACAGCAGAGGGGATCAGCTGGACATTTTTAATGGAAAAAAAGGCAAAATTCTTCATGAAAAGTGTTTTTGCAAAAATTCTAACTTTTCAGAAAAAAGCCAGCCAGCTGGGAGGACCTGATCCTCTGGAGTATTGTATCCAGTTTTGGGCCCCCAACTACAGAAAGGATGTGAATAAATTGGAGAGAGCCCAGCAGAGGACAACAAAAACAATCAGGGTGCTGGGGCACATGACTTACAAGGAGAGGCTGAGGGAACAGGGCTTATTTAGTCTGTGGAAGAGAAGAATGAGGGGGGATTTGACAGCAGCCTTCAACTACCTGAAAGGGGGTTCCAAAGAGGATGGAGCTCGGCTGTTCTCTGTGATGGCAGCTGACAGAATAAGGAGCACTGCTCTCAAGTTGCAGTGGGGGAGGTCTAGGTTGGATATTAGGAAACACTACTTCACTAGGAGGGTGGTGAAACACTGGAATGGGTTACCCAGGGAGGTGGTCGAATCTCCTTCCTTAGAAGTTTTTAAGGTCAGGCTTGACAAAGCCCTGGCTGGGATGATTTAGTTGGGGATTGGTCCTGCTTTGAACAGGGGGTTGGACTAGATGACCTCCTGAGGTCCCTTCCAACCCTGATATTCTATGATTCTATGATCCAAAGCACAGGAGCAACTGATGGGACTTTGACCACTGGCTGCAACAGTCTGTGCAATTCTGGTCCAAAAACTCCCCCTCTCTCCAACACAAAAAAGAGGTTTTGCAGTAAATGATTTGAAGTTTTTTGTGCAAGAGAATTTCAATAATTGGACCAACTTTGCCCTTCTCTTAGTTAGCAGGTCTCTTCTCTTCTGCAGATCAAATCTTCTCAGTCTCCCAAAACCCTGCCCTCCTGCCTCTCATTTCTGAAACCATTTGCAGTTACCACCTGCTGTTGATTGTTCCATGTCTGTGTCTCGGCCTCAGGTTACTGATCTTATTCTTTCTGGCCACGATCCTGTCCTGTGGGATTCTCTTCTGCCTGCAGTGCTGGCTGAAACAACGGAGCAGCTTCCCCTCCCGGCGCACACTTGCCGTGTTTGCACTCAGTGACTCCGATTCTCTTGGTGGTTAGTCTCCATTTAGATCTTTGCGGGGCTTCTCATTGCTAAACCTGCTCCTGTCGGGTCCACGCCAAACTCAGTGGCAGGGCCATAGATCACTGACTCCATAGGTAAAGTGATGCTGCATTCAATTCAGTGATCTTGCCTCCCATCCAGATGAGAGTTACTGCCCTGGGCTTCCTTCCTGGAGAGATGTCCATCTCATGGGGCATTTAAAACAATCATTAGATTCATTGGAACATTGTCACAAAGGCACATAGGCACTGGGTTAATTGTGCTCAGCCCCTCCCACCGTGCACCCAGAGCTGGTCTCTTAGAATATCTAAGAGTATTTCCATTAGCTTCAATAGGCATTGGATCAGATCTTAAATGATCACCCCTCAGAAGAAACCCCAAGGATGTCCCATCAGGCTGAGTGCGTGAGCCCTGATAATCCAAGAGGAAACCCTGGTAGCTTCCTGGGCCAGGGGGTGAGAGTAAACGATAGACTCTCTGGGGAAACCACACCAGACCAAACGCTTGGCTCCCCTAGTGTTGGCAGATTGAATTCAGAGCTCCCCAACCCACAACGGGTAGTTAGCTGGTCCCAGAGCACTGAGCTGCAGCTGCTACATGGACACGGCAGATTTCTCTTCTAATTTCCTTTCAAGTGACTGGAGCCACGTGATACTTCAATATCTCCAGCTAATGTAGCTCTCAAGTCATCATCAGGTCCCCCCCCTCCATACACACCCACCCACACAGTCCCCTCGGTCCCCCATGTGTGGTTTCACTCAAGGCTGGCGTATGGTTACCAAGAAAAGCTCCATTTTTCTCTTCCCAGTAAGTGATGCTTCCCCATGTGCATTTTCCGGGGTGCACGCCCACTCTCCAAACCCAGACCTGTGCCCTTCTCCCGCCCTGCGCATCGGCACCAGAGGGACTGGATCGCCTCCTTCCTACGAGGATATTATGAAGGCAGGCAAACACTAGGGGCCTGATTCATTCCCCTTCCCCCCGTGTTACTCCAGATCGACACCAGTGTGAGAACAGAATCAGCCAGAAGGCTGAAGAGGAGACAGAGGAAGTATTTTATTTTTAACTTAAAAGGGGAAACGACATGCCAATAGAAAAACACCCACTTTTCCTTTATACGCCAAAGGACTGCACGGCAGAGAGTAAGTTTTCACTGGCCCTGCAGGCTGAAGATCTGGATCTGAACTTCAGGCTCCTCCAAAGTTTAGGTCTGTCTGTACCGAGCATTTTTGGTTCAGCCTGAACATTTAGCCTATTAAATATCCTAATTCCTCCCCTGTGCTTACAACTCACTGCCTTTCAGGAGCGAAGGCTCGGAAATGACTAGGCAGTGGCTTCTCAAGGCAGAAAGAGATGGGTTTGCTTCAGTCATTTGGCACCGAGCCAGCATGGCACCCGTGGCGTTAAGAGTTGCACTGTTCTACTGTGCAGTGCGGTGTAAATATGCCCCATGTAAGTGAAGGGCTGTTTGCCTCCCGTGAAATGCGTAGCATGGTTTAAAAGACACAGATAGTGCAAAATACAGCTGCTTTAAAGGCGGCAGAGGAAAAGCATGAACCATGGCATGTGCAGCCGGAACCAAATTAAAATGTTGCTTTGGTTATTTTCAGTTGATGTAAATACTCTTGATTTCAGTATTAATATTGTGACTGTCTCCACTGTGGTAAAGGAATGGTGGTCAGCCCGCAGCTCTGTCTGCCGGACCAGCCCCAAAGGGCAGGAAGGGGACCAGCCTTTGAGACCACTGCCTGCTCTCCCATTGCAACGTTCCAGGCCTGCTGACTTCCCAACCTCTCCAGTGCTGAGATCCAAGATTCTGGTTTTGGCTTAGAAATAACAATAGCTTATAATTAATCGAACACAGTGATCTCCATAGGTGGTCTGTATTTTATTCTGCGTAAAGCATTATTGACTTATTATTATTTACTTGGTTCTAAATATGTTGCTGCTTTTAATTTCATTGAATGTCGCCTTCTAGTCATATTACTGGAGTGGCTAACAAGCCAGGAGAGTTCAGTTTTTCACTATACACCCCTATTTTGAATACCTTATTCACAAGATTCAAGTAACCCACCTTCAGGCCAACTTCCAGCAGAGGGCGATACAGACTATCAATAGTGATTAAGGGGCTTTTTGGTCACATCAAAATTGAGCTTGCCACAGAGAACAGGTTAGGGTTGCTGTGTTATTGCGGGGGTTTAAAATTTGATTTGTTTCACATTTTGGTGCTTTTGTTATTCAAAAAATAAAATGGTTTAACCCCATTGTGTTCAGTGGCATACTCGATCTGCCGTAATAACCCCCACAATGCTGTGGGATAAAGAAAACGAGAGTCACAGAAATAGGCTGTGACGTATTCATGATTGTGAGATGACATATGTGACCACAATACCGCCGGGCAGCCGGCTTTAACACTACGGGGGTGCCAGGAGCAGCTTGTGTGGGGGAAGGGTCCATCCGCTAAAAGGCTCAATGCGGTTGTATGGGGTGTTTTTGTTTCATGGGGGGATGAGGAAGACCTTGGGCCAAGGTACCTTGCTGCCCTTGTCTGGCTCACTGATCTGAAATTCCCAGCCCACAAGAGCCAGGTATGCTTGACACTGCTCTCTACTTCACTGGATTATCTACAAGGGGAAGGTCATCAGAGGCATATACCCAATGGATACTGGTGACATCTGGGAAGTGTGTAGGGAAACTTGCATTTTGCTCTGAGGCTGGGAGTTCCTTTCTCAGATTGGCAGAAGAACTCTGTGTAGCTCAACAGGTGTCTCTCTGTCACCAACAGAAGTTGGTCCAATAAAAAATATATCCTTCCCCCACCTTGCCTTTCTAAGGAAACTCACTGCACTATTATTGCTTTTGACACTCTACCCTGCCTGGGCTGGGTATATAACTTCTCATACACACAGACACACGTCTACTCATGCTGGCAACCTACAACCTTCAAGCCAAGTCAGGATGCACTCCAGGATGAGCTCAGTTCCCATCAGGGTATTGAAGCATGGGAAAAGCGGTCACTGTCACTCCCCATGCTGTACATGTACAGTGGACAAATGGAAGACCTTCCTCTCCGGAGTTGTCAATCTATCACCGTCCACCAGTGTAACATTGCGGGAGGGCTGAGCATTTGTCCCCATGAAAAGTACACCAGGGCATGGATCTAAGAGGGTTTGAGCAAAAGAACTTTCCTCCCCATCGGTGAGCTTGGCGTGGAACAGCTACACCGCTTATGACCAGTGGTTTGTCATAATAGCTGGAATCTCTATGTGCCCCACAAGAATCAGTGTTGGGTAATGAGTAAGGCACTGGGCTCAGAGCCAGGATGCCTGGGGTCTATTCCTCACTCTGCCACAGATATGATGTGTTACCTTGGTCATGTCACTGTCCAGTGCCTCAGTTTCCCTGTCTGTAAAATGGGGATAATGACTGTTACTCTTACTTACATGGAGGCATTTAGGTTTGTGGATCCATCCAGTAGCAGATCCACTGTTGCATTTCTTCGCTTAGTCCCTGGCCCCTCCGAGCTGCCCCAGAGCAGCATGGGTGGAATGAGTTCCCTAGGTGGTCTCTCCAGAGAACAGTCACTTTACTTTGTGCCTTATGTTCCCATGCAGCACTCAGCCCTGATGAAGATATTTCTCTTTGGCTGAACTCTATTTCCAGGAGTTACAATGGAAGACGAGACATTTTTTTATAAAGTATCAGCTGAAAAATCTCTGTCTTTCAGATGTAATAGTGCTGAGAAATAATGATGACACTCCATAACTGCCTTCCAACTAACGTAACTGACGCTGCATATTAACAATGCAATGAAATGGAAATCATGTGAAAAAACCATGGAAGGCAATAAGGGGGTGAATATTTTGGCTCTGGGATCTGCTGTTGCTAAGTCTTGATAGTGAATAAATAATGAACTGTAGAAGGATTAATTGCCTGGGGTCCAGTAGGATGCAAATGAAGGAGTGGCATGAGGAAGGCTGCACAGTGAGGCTTTCACTTCAACACTCCATTCAAGGATTGAATAATAAAGTCATAAATACAGTAAATTGGATGGAAAAGCCACAATGGCCTTTTGGATCTAATGCAAAATTGAGCAAAATCTAATACAGACTGGACATATTGGGGGGATGTTTCCAAAGAGAAAACAAGAACATAAGAACTGTCATTCTGGGTCAGACCAAGGGTCCATCTAGCCCAGTGCCCTGTCTTCAATCAGTGGCTAATGCCAGGTGCCCCAGAGGGAATGAACAGAACAGGTAATCATCAAGTGATCCATCCCCTGTTGCCGATTCCCAGCTTCTGGCAAACAGAGACTAGGGACACCATCCCTGCCCATCCTGGCTAATAGCCTTGATGGACCTATCCTCCATGAACTTATCTAGTTTTTTTTTTTAACCCTGTTATAGTCTTGGCCTTCACAATATCCACTGGCAAAGAGTTCCACAGGTTGATTGTGAGTTGTGTGAAGAAATACTTCCTTTTGTTTGTTTTAAACCTGCTGCCTATTAACTTCATTTGGTGACCCCTTGTTCTTGTGTTATGAGAAGGAGTAAAGAACACTTTCTTATTTCCTTTCTCCACACCAGTCATGATTTTATAGACCTCAATCATATCCCCCCTTAGTCATCTCTTTTCCAAGCTGAAAAGTCCCAGTCTTATTAATCTCTCCTCATATGGCAGCTGTTACATACCCCCTCATCATTTTTGTTGCCCTTTTCTGAACCTTTTCCAATTCCAATAGATTTTTTTTGAGATGGGGCGACCACATCTGCACGCAGTATTCAAGGTGTGGGTGTACCATGGATTTATCTAGAGGCAATGTGATATTTTCCGTCTTATTATCTATCCCTTTCTTAATGATTCCCAGCATTCTGTTTGCTTTTTTGACTCCTGCTGCACATTGAGTGGATGTTTTCAGAGAATTATCCACAATGACTCCAAGATCTCTTTCTTGAGTGGTAACAGCTAATTTAGACCCCATCATTTTATATGTATAGTTGGGATTATGTTTTCCAATGTGCATTACTTTGCATTTACTTTGCAAATCAATCAAGAATGACAAGCAACATGCAAAAAAACAGGAAATAACAGAAATGCTCACTGATCTGTTTTCCAGCTCAATCCGAAGACTCAGTATTTTAGTCTGGAATGATTTGTTTGATGGTGTCTTTTGGGTAGAGGGAGAGGACGGGGAATCAATTTTGCAGGACAGACGTAGGTGGCTGTTTTTCTCTGGGCCATTAGATGGCAGGATTTCAAGCTTTTTCGCAATCTGAGCTGAAGATGCTAATCCAAGTACGGGCTCAACTTTGTAAGTGTGTCTTGGATACCCTTGGAAAGGTGCCCTCAGCTCCCTTTGACAGTGCTGAGCACCGCAGGATCTAGCCCTACAGGAGGTCTGTTGGGCTGCATGCTGCAAAGAAGCTGAAACATGTTTTTCTTTGGTTCCTTTCTGTCAAAACTAAGGCCATGTTTCTGCCGTGAGCCCCCTGACACCAGATACTTGCACCACCAAAGAGAGCTCCATTGAAGTCAGCTCAGTCCACACAGCACAGGGGCTCAAGTATCTCTTAATAATGCTTCAAATCTATAAAAGGAAGGTGTTGTCTATTGATGTGCACATAAAACTGAGAGCCAGGAGCACCTGGGTTGTGTCTTCAGTTCTGACACTGATTTTTTTCTGTAGCCTTGGACTAGTCACTTAACCCCTCTGCCTCAGCTTTCCCCTCTGTAAAATGGGGATAATAGAACTCACCTGCCTGTTAAGAGTTGAATTTCTTAATATTTGAGAAGCTTTGAAGACAAAATCACTCCAAGTGCTAAGCAGTATTATTTATTATTATATATTTGTTCACTATTATTAAATGCTGTCAACATTTGCAGGAAGAACTCAATATCCTGGCGACCTTAACAGGTAAAAAGCCTTTTGGTTTCCCCTTTAAAGAAGTGGGGCACCCAGGGCCTGTTGTTTAGTCGTTGTGTTATGCAAGCTAATCTAATTTTTGCTTATACTTCTGCACATTCTTGGAACTCATCGATGCAGAAAGCAGCCTGTATGAATGCTCCTTCTGTATGGATTTTCTTTTCAGAAGTGTTTGCCATTTGGAAGCATTAAGAACAGGTTAAAAAACACGGATGCATGTAAAGCTCACAGCAAAGGCTCCTAGATCTTGAAAAGCAAGTGACGGGTGATATGCAATGGGATCCAGTGTTAGCGATCATCAGAGACCAGACCTCTTCCTAAAGCCTCTTCCTATTTATGCCTCTGCCTTTTGCCCCTCATTTCCAGGAGGGACGTTATCTATATCACACAGATCATGATCTAGCAGGACTATCACCTAAGCACCTCTCCTCTCCTCCCACCACCATGGGAAAATCCTGCAGGAGGGGACTGGAAATTACATGTGTTTCGCAGTGTGTGTTTCATTTTGATTCTAAAATGTTTAAGTAAAACTGTGCTCACTGGATCCACATCCTCATTCTAATAAAAGCACCAGAGCCTGGTGCAAATAACTCATGAAAACAGGTGGGGAGGGAAACACTATATTTAAATATATAATAGCTCACCTTACCTGATCCCTCTCGTTACAGTGTGTAGAATCATAGAATCATAGAATATCAGGGTTGGAAGGGACCTCAGGAGGTCATCTAGTCCAACCCACTGCTCAAAGCAGGACCAATCCCCAATTTTTGCCCCAGATCCCTAAATGCCCCCCTCAAGGATTGAACTCACAACCCTAGGTTTGGTATGGTAACATCCACGGTTTCATGTTCTTTGTGTATTATAAATCTCCCCACTGTATTTTCCACTGCATGCATCCGATGAAGTGAGCTGTAGCTCACGAAAGCTTATGCTGAAATAAATTGGTTAGTCTCTAAGGTGCCGCAAGTCCTCCTTTTCTTTTTGCGGATACAGACCTCTGCATCAGCAAATTGTTTAATCGTAAGCTGTCACAACAAACTATGTTGTTTACATGGTGAACTGAGGCTGAGGAAAGTAACGAAAGGGTGGAATATTACAGGCAAAGAATAGGTAATACAGATTTAATTGTTTTATTGCAAGACCATTTTATTGGGTGTGCTGCAATTGGAAATCAGTATCTACTTACAGGGAAGGAAATAAACTAATCAAAGGGGTTATTTACAAATGATGGGTATTTTTCCATAAAGCACTGGTCTTTATACACCTAAAGGACACTCATCATGTCCCTTGGACCCAAGAGCGCCATTCCAATAGTCGGAGGATGTGCCCAGCACCTTGTCTCGATGGGGGTAAAAATGCAATGCTGTCACATTAGCTAACATACGCCAAACACACACTCTAAAACTCTCGGCTAGACAAGGAGTGTCGGCTTAACACCTGCTAAACTGGGTGAGTTAAACTTGGGATCCCACCCACCGTCTGCTGCGACTAGCAACCGTGTTGAAAATTGCCCTGCCTACACTGGGATTTTAACTTGTGTTAGTGAATTTGTTAAAAACACCATTTTTTTCCCTAATGAAGAAAGGCCTACCCACGCCCGACATAAGGGCTGTAGATTTCATGCCCAGTAAAATAGCTCTGACTCGGATAAGGAAGTGTTTTGATTTAAAGGGGGTTCAGATCAAAGGGATTTTACAGTCGGTTACATCAGCTCCTAGTCAATCCATTCATCATGAGACAAGGCCAGTTCTACATCCTCACCCATGTTGTCCTTGTGTAACGCAGGAAAGGAATGGTTAAGTACTGAATTAGGATTTCCAGAGCTGGGCAACAGAGAATCCCAAATGGGTTGACTGATCAGCTACTCGACATTGGGTGAAGAGATTTGCATTTCGCAGGGCAGAATGAATCTGAGCAAACAGCATTTGCTCCAGCTGGTGATTTGTGGGCAAGCCCGAAGGCACAGATGGCAGGGGAGGGTGCAGGTTAGTACAGCCCGTTCCCTTCTGTACTGATCTGTTGTTGCTGTCAAGGAGAGGACACACCTATGTCCTGGCTACATGGATTCCAGATGTCGACCTGGCGGCCCATCCGCCTCTCAGCAGAGGCTCATATGTGTGGTCCCCCTAGTCTGTCAGCACCTTATCACACACGGATTAGCTCTGTGATTTACCCCCCCCCCGCCCTTATTGTTTTGGTTTCTTTATACAACATGTAGGTTGTTGTACTAATAAAATAAAAACCAGCAGGATCTTATTAAAGGGACAAGGCAAAATGCCACATTTATTGTAAATATAATAAAAAGAAATATAAAACTCACACTGTTGTATTGTTACTTATTCCTTACTTAACTATATATATATATATATATATTTATTCATTCACTCATACCAGCTCTGCATAGGGGTTCTAGTTACCAGCCTAGAAGTTGCTCGTGACAGAGCACTGGCCAGGTAACCTGTACACGAGAGTGGAGCCGAGTCCGTGTCAGATGCGCATCCGATGCTCCTGAAGGGTAGTGGCAGAACCGGAGACTCAAAGTTCTCAGTCCTTAGTGTCCATTTTTATAGGAATTTCTTCCTGTGCCAGCCCGTGGAATTTGTTTTGTCATATTGTTAGTCATGATGGCTCCAGGATGGCTGTCAGGTGCTCATCAGCTTTCTTCATCCTTTGAATTGGTCGGGTGGATCCCAGTTTGCCCTCCGGTGGGGTTCTCTGGTTGTCTCCACCTGGCGTCTTCTTTGGCCAATTGATATTAAATTCCTAGGCTGGCACTTCCCTGATTATTCAAAACCCACCATTCATTCACATACATTCCTTACTTTAATAAAAACACATTTCTCATTTCACCGAGTATTGTTATTTTATTTGAGACTCCCTGTCTCTTAACATTCCTTCGTATTGACTTTCTTTTATCATACAAAGGTGTTATTTATTTGAGACTCCCCGTTTTTTAACATTCCTGATCCAAACTATAGAGGGTGGGAGTCTCTATGTGACATTTCTATGAGCGCCGCTCCAATTAGCGGCTCTTCGCGGGCGTTACAAAAAAGCATGTCAATCTCCATCACAAAGTATCCTTTGCAAAGTAAAGCCAATTGAACATAACCATTTGAGAAAGTAACGTTAATTGATTGGTTTACATTTATAAGCGTCAATCTCAATTACAATCAAGGGAAAGCGTCAATACAGAGAAAGCAGAATCAATTGAGCGGTTTAGTTTTACAAGCGTCAATCTTAATAACAAGTGAGAGAAAGTACCAATTCAGAGAAAGCAGAGCCAATTGAGCAGTTTGCAAGGTACAGTTTGCAAGCTTTAATACAGAATTGTAAATCAATATTGCAGATTTACAATTATGTCAAATAGAAGAATTATAAATGCAGATGTACAAATATTATAAATCAATATTGCAGGTTTACAATTTATTATGAACAAAATCACAAATATTAAGAATATGCCTACAAGGTGCCTAGGCCAGCAAGGAGCTGATTTCTTTCAACTCACAGTGAAGTCAATGGACCAAATTCTGACTGAGGCTGAACAGCAAAATTAATGGAATTCAGCTGGTATTTAGCACCTCTCAGAATGCAACCCAGTGGGAGTCCTGCATTCACGATCCTTCCTGGAAGCTGCTTTCTTGCTTTGTTTCTGAAGATGATGATTTTATTTCAAGCCCCCATACAGGCCATTCTGCATGTATCTGTGAGGCGCGACTTAGCATCCCGCTCACAAACGCTGCAGGCCAGGCCTCTGAATAAGCAGTTCAAAATAAAAGCAGAGCACTAATCTCCTCGTTTCCTGCGCCTCACACTCTGGTGTCCATTGCGTACATTTTGGCAGTCGCTGTCTGAGACGATGGATAGTATGTGTTTGCCACAGTTGTTCCAGCGGGGGAATACATCTTCCTCAAGGAATTAGAGGAGTAGAACCTCCCAGAGCCAACATCTGTGTTGCAAAAGGAAAGAAAGAGGAAAATCTGATTAGCAATGACCCAGCCATTTCCATCAGCAAAGTGCCCTCAGAATACAGCATGATGATGCTTCCAATTTGTTAATAAGGTCAGTAACAACATTGTGCTTTACGCTTCGATCTCACCTTCCATCTGAGAATCTCAAAGCACTTTACAAAGATGGGTAAAGTATTATTATCCCCATTTTACAGGCAAAACGCTGATGCACACTTAACCATCACACATGATGATGCTAGATAGGAGATTAAGTTTTTTATATAGACTCTGTGATATTGGGGACTGGGCCTTTAAGGGCTGAGCTTCCCAGACAGAGCACCTGGGCAGGGTGCTGGGAAGCTCTTGTGGTTTTGCACAGCCAGTTGGAAGGAAACAGACACAGAACACAGCAGATCTCTTGCGAGCACATGAAGTACTGAGTGATCCCTAGACACCACATTCTCCAGTGCAGTCAGATCAGGAGTGGTCCTAAGGTAGTAGCCTCTGGTAGGCCTCTGGAGGGCTATAGGAAATGTGTGAAGAATCTTGGTCCTGTTCGAAACTGCTAAGGATCCACATCCCAGCAGTCAGAACCACACTGGTATTCTCAGCAGTGAGTTCAAGGGTCTAATGGACACACAGACTTGAGCTCTCCTCTGTCTCAGAGATGCCCCATAAGCAACGTTCTAGCACTCTGGGCATGTGTAACAGCTCCCAGGAGATTATTAACCTTGTCTTTACTGTGTTTAGTTGATGCCGTTGGGTCTTACCTCGGAAGAGATACACGCAGCAGGTGAGCACAGCCCCAGATAAGAAGCAGCCCAGGGACCCAGCCATTCCGAGCCAACAAGACCAGCCAAACTTATACTGGATGCCCAGAAACACATTGTGCAAAACCAGGGAGGAGCGCTCCATGTACACCCCAAGGGCATACCATACTGAGCCGATAAGGCCTGGGAAGCCTGCAGGGCAGGAGAGAAGAGCACCAGAGAGAGCTGTCAGACAGATCAAGGTGATTAATTCCTGGAGTATACTCTGCCATCTCCTAACACTCCCGTTAGCTCCTGCTGACTTCATCTGGTGTGTCCCATGTGTACTCAAGGGCAGTTTATACTCAATGGGTTTGCTTTCTCAGATGTGCTATGGACACTCTAGCTGGTTGACATCTTTCAAATTTTGAAAACTTTGCTTAAAAGTGTGTTGGGGGGGGGTTATATATCTATGCAATTTCCCCCCCCCCCCCCCCGCCCCACCGTCCCTTGTTTATCAACTTGTAGATGATCTGGAGGAAATTGCCAACAAAATGTTCGCAAAGGGCTTTTAGATTAGTTCTAATACGCACTGGGCCATACAGAAGAGGATCTCTGAGCACGTTATAAGCACATGTATACATAAACCTCCCAGTGATTGGCATTAGATTCTTTATATCTGTGGATACAGTGAAACTGGGAGAGCTTTTTTAATATTGGTGCAACTCCAAATAGATAAAGTGACTTTGTCCACAGTGAGCCAGTGCTATAACTTGGCATCTATTTATCCTAGTTACTTCTCTGGCCCCCATCAAGCTAGTATCTAAGAATCTCACTCTAATATTGTGAGCCCCAGACTACCCCTGTTGTGAGGCTAAGGCAGGGCAGTGCTATTATTCTCATCTTACGGATGGGAAACTGAGGCACAGAGAGGCTAAGTAACTTGCCTAGGGTCACAAAGAAAGTCAGTGGCATAGTAGAGAATTGAACTCGGCCCTCTGGGTAGTGATCTAATGATTGGACCATGCTTCCTCTCAGAGCATGTGTCTCTGCCCACTAAACTACTCTCACTCCTTTGCACTAATTATTTATTTTTAATCGGGCCATCCATGATCATGTGACCGCACTGGACAAATACCTGCTATGAGCAACGTAACTCCAGACACGAGACAGATGCGCAGCTTGATGGTGGGCTCGTCCGTGAGGAATTTGACACAGTCAAGTCCCAGGAGCAGGAAAGCGAATCCAAACCCCGCCAGGATGTCTGCTGTGATCATCATGGCTCTGGTCAGCACCAGCTTCACTGCAGGACAGGGTAGGGGGTTGCAGTGCAGCAAGGAGATACAGCCAGGATCCTAAAAGCTAAAGAACTAGGGGCAGGTCTACGCTACCATGTGAGTCGAGGTAACTTATGGCACTCAGGGGTGTGAAAAAGACCCCCGGCCCCAAGTGACACAAGTGACAGCAACCTAAGCGCTGTCCACACTGGGGACATAGCTTCCGTCTCTCGCAGAAGTGGAGTAATTACGCTAACAGGAGAGCGCTCTGCCATCATCACAGAGTGTCTTCACCAGACACGCACATTGAAATCAAAGCACCGGGGTAGCTGAATTCTCTCCAGAAAGGGGAATTGCGTGAAACCTTGGGTCTGGTGATCAGCTGACATCTGCCACTTCCCAGCCACATTTAATCCCCAAAAAAGAGTAGCTGTTATGCAGCACTCTAAAATGATTAAGAGACCCAAGTAAATTTCACCCCATCTTTTGGATAGCATCACAGTGTTAGGCCCCACCATTGAGATGTCACACCCTGGATGACGGTAGTTGACAGGCCCACTTTGATGCTAGTTATCTGTAGTTTTGTTTGTATATTGGACATTAATAAAGAAGGCCTCTTCCCCCAACTGGTGACACATCCCCAATTAATCCCACTGCACTGTGGCTAACCTAACCATAGATGCTTCAAGGATAAGAATGACTGGAAGATGAAGAGATACTACTGCACAGGTGATTCATGTAGGTCATGCAATAATATTCAAGTGCAGATGATCAAGGGCATACCAATAAGGAACAACTTTACACTGCCCTGGGTATGGACAAGAAGATCTCATTAATATCAAAAGCTGCTTCTAAAAGTGTTTTTTGGTCCAGGGATTTGGTTTGGGCTCATCCGTAATTTTTAGGGGATATTCCCTTGAGGAATTATTACTGTGTGCACGGGTGGGAGGTAGTATCTAGATCAGTGTACGGTGCCACCATCCTCTCTTGTCAAAAGAGAAATTCAAACAGAAGAGAACGCCTGGCTGCCTGTTCTCCAGGGCTCATTGAAATGTTTCAAAAGAAATTTGGTGGGTTTTTTACTTTGTTTTATTCAAACTTTTTTTGTGATTTTTTTCAATAACAAAACTTTCAAAATTAAATAGAAAATAATAAAAAATATTCCAAATATGTAATTTTGTTTTGGTGGGTAAATTCCCAGTTCTGTACCATTTTTTCCCACAGGGAAGTGAAAAAAAAAAAGAGAATTTAGGATTTTACCCACAAAACCAAATGAAATATTTTGCAAAAATAATCAATTTTCTTCATACTTCCAGGGTTGAATTTGTCCACTTGCCTTGGCATTCAAAGTTGCTGTGAGGGATCTTTTCTCAAAGGCCTGAGGTTTCTGCAACTCTTTGGCATTGTAGGGTTTTTTTCAAAACCAGAATGAAACAGAGATGGATTGAAAAGAGGAACCTCAGTTGTGCTTAATCTGTGTTATATAGGGAGGAATTACAAAGCCTTGGGAACCCAGGAAAGGCCCTGAATGATCTTTTCTAGGGGTGGAAGTGGATATCTGCTGGTTTTCTTCAATCACAAATATGTACTGGACATTGCTTCAGAAATGGACCACGATCCCAAGATTTTGGTGCATCAACTTACATTTGAACTGAATTAACTGAGATGAACTCTGGATATTTCTGACTCCACATTCTATGTTCAGGGTCTCTGAGTGGCTTTTTGACACGCCTGTCAATTCAATCATCAACTACAAGCTCCTTTTCATTGACACATTTGTTTTCAAAGACTCTTCCCCATCCCTTTCAAGCCACAGAGAGGAGGCATGACCCTGCGGGTGCCATGAGCCTTGCTCATGGCCAAGGCTGAATACCAAAGCCCATTGAAAGCAACAAACAGATGCTCATTGACTTCAGTAGCCTTGGGGTCAGGCCTTATTGTTTAAGACCCTTGTATAACAAAATTCAAGCATGTGCTTAAGAATTTTCCTGAATCAGGCCCCAGCTGTCTAAGTTGGCCCAGGGGTTGGGTACAGCCAGATTCTTGACTCTGCAGGTGGTGGAGTTGAGCTAATATTCTAGGAATATCTCCTTCTGCCTGATTTGCAGATCAGTGCCAGCAGTGGTCTCACAGGGGCCCCATGTCAGCAGAGCATTTAAGCATGTGCTTAGATCAATTGCTGTTCAGCAATACTGAAGTCCATGGGACGTGCTTCAGTGCTTTCCTGTACAGGGCTGTTGTGCTGAGTTTTGGACACGGAGAAGAGGACTGGACTAGGTGACCTCTCGAGGTCCCTTCCAGTCCTATGATCCTATGATTCTAAGAGGCTCACTTGTCTGCCCACTGGCTAGCAGGGCAGCCCAGCAATAGCAGCAGTGTGAGACCAGAGAACGTAGAGGGGAACTGGGGAAGGTTAGCAATCCATCCAGTGGATGGGAGCAAGCACCAAGGGCAGCCCTTTGCTGAGGCCCTTTTAGTGGGATGTGGAGGCAGCCAGAAACAGGGGAGAGGGCGTCATCTTGCCCTGAGCATCCCAGCCAGCTGTGCATTCCATGGAGGTTCTCCTGACAGACAGAGAAAGTGAAGCTGACCCTGTACAGATGGCCAGCGCAAGGCCCGTGCCCCACCTAAGGGTCTGTCTTCACAGCCGAGTGGATAACTGGAGTCACTCCTCTCCGGTTAGCTTAACTCGAGAGAGAGAAGCCATACTGCAAAATCCTGCTTGAGTTGTTTGTGTCCACACTGGAGCTAGCTCAAAGGTTTCAGGGGCCGTACCCCATGATTCTGCCATAAGCTGAGCCACGGTACGAATTCTTTCCCAGTGAATTGTGGGAGAACTTGTCTGTCCTTTCGGGGCACACGTGGGAATTGTGGGAAGGCTTGGAGGCCTAGCAGCATTTGAGCGGTACAAGCCTGCGTCCACACTTCTGAGCAGTCGTGTTAGCGGCTGATGAGTTGTGCTCACTCAAATGTTAGCTAGCCCCCGTGACGGGTCGACTGGCTCAAGTTTAAAGCATCATCACACTCGAGTTAAGGATTCTTGTGTGTGGACAGGACTGGCGTTAGGGAGAGCTCTCGAGTTATAACTCATTAACTTTGCAGTGAAGACAAGCCCTAAGTCTTCAGGTTTCTAAGAGCATCAAATCAGCTTTACATTGTGAAATATGAAAAAAATCGCCTATGGAACCGGCCATACAAAATCTGTCCCTGGAAAGGGGGATGTTTGAAGCTCCTTCACTGGAGGTTTCCCAAAGGAGGCTGGATCGCCATCTGTAACAAACACTGCATCCTAGCAGGGGGTTAGACTAGATCGGGGTTCTCGAACTTTTTTGGCTGGGAACCCCTTTGAAAATATTTCAGGCTTGTGACAACCCCCCCTCAAAAGAGTGATGACCCCCCGCATACCATGCCACCCTTCCTTCTGCGCTGCTGCTGGGGGGGTGCTGCTTTCAGAGCTGGGGCCTGGCCAGCAGCTGCTGCTCTCTGGACACACAGCTCTGAAGGCCTCGGGCTCGCAGCTGGAGCCCTGGCATGCATGGGGGCTGATAGCTCGCAACCCCACTCCTTAATAACCTTGCGACCCCCCAGTTTGAGAACCCCTGGATTAGATGACCTTGTGAACACTTCTAACCCTATGGTTCTATGATTCTGTGTTTTCTACCTCCACAGTTTGTGATCGAAATCTGAAGAATACGTACAGGGGTGCTCAGCAAATATAGAGTCATAGTCATCACAGGTCTGAATCCCATCGAACACGTTGGTGACACATTCCCACCACAGGCCACGGCACTTCGTACTCACCTAGAAGTAAAAAAAGCAGGGCGTGAGCAGACCCAAACAAAACAACAGGAGCCAGAGGAGGGAGCACGAGGGACATTTTAGCCCAGCAAAGTCAATGGCAAAACTCCCATTGACTTCCACAGGGTCTGGTCTTCATCACTGGACGATTGCTCAGGTGAAAGGGTTCAGTGTACTGAGACCACTCCCTATCATGCTGACCCGTATTGTCTCATTGTTTTCTTGTGCTCCCCCGTCTGCCGCCATCTGTTGTCTCTTCTCTTACGCTTAGATTGTAAGATCTTTGGGGCAGGGACTGTTTGTACAGTGCCTAGCACAACGGAGTCCTGGTCCGTGCCTGGAACACCTAGGGTCTACAGCAATACAAATCGTCAATGACAATCAGAGTTTTGCCATTTCCAGAATCAAGCCCCCGGCTGGCGGTTACCGACATGCTTGGAACACACTTGGAACTGAAAAGTCACTGTATAACTTGATTCTGAGTGAACATTGCTTTAAATTAAGAAGATTCTGCTCCATACAATTTTACCGCTCGCCACCAGGAATTTGATAGGGAGAAAAGTCCCATGGCTTGTGCTTTGGGGTTTCATGTTTCAAAATGAACTTAGTGGGAGCGACAGTGGCTGGACTGACATCCCCAGGGACTGAGGTCCTCTCCTGAGTGTGTGGACAAGGTGGCCAGCAGCAATGTTGACTTCCCCCAGGCTGCCTTTTTGCCCTGGGACCAGAACTCGGGTTGACGTCATTCACCATTCCCAGCCCCCTGAGCCTTCCCGTCCAGCCCTCCTTAAGTCAATCGAACACGGAAGATATTTCTGTTAGCACTGTAAATATGCCAACAGGAATTAAGCACCTCTTGTGTATTCTTGACATTGCTCGTACATATAGCAGGGAGCTGGGTTAACGTTTGTGCTACCTTGGACTTGAGTCTGCATTACGGCTGCCAGATAAATCCCAGCCTAGTTTAACAAAAGAGTAACTCCTGTAGGAAAGAGGAACAGTACCTCTTGTTTGGATGTTGAGACAAATCTACTTTTTTGGATGGCAGCATGCCCCAAATATCAGCCTTAACTGTAGTCAGATAATAACAGGTACCAACCCAGTTAATAGGACATGTTACACAACTTGTAATCTTTTGAGCCGGGGAAATGATACCACACTATACTGAAAGAGAACGCTCTGTACATCTATGGCTGGGTATATAACCTACCCCTCTTGGCGTAAGACAGTACCTTACTAGTTTTCGTTACTATTACACACTGGACTGAGAGTTTAAATGTTGGTTCTGTCAGTTCAACCGGTCCTTTCCCTCTAGCATATTAGCTAAGCCATGGTCATTTAGGCTACCCTTAGAAGGGGTATATTGATACTCAAGTGCAATGCTTTACACTTAGACACATTCCATTTCATATTCCACCTAGTGTTAGAGAGCTTAAGGGACCATGAGATCATAGGCCAATAACTTGTGTTAGAGCATCGCAGCATCGCAGTCCTCAGGATGCTAACCTGTTGCGTGCCACAGGCAGAGAACAGCAGAGACCCAGGCTGCCACTCAGCCAACTCATCCTGTGAACAGCTACCGCCTACAGTCAGACCCCCGCACCCCCCAACTTAAGTGTCGCCTTCAAAATGAATGATTTCAGATAGACCTATACTCCAAATCTAGAGCCCTGCAGGGCTTCAGGACTCACCAGCGCCCACGGAGAATCCACGCCTTTATGTGCAAAACTCGACCCTGGGCCTGAAATCTGAACCAAGCCCTTTGCTAACCCAAGAGAGCTCAATCAAAGTTTTGTGTGTCTTGGTGTGTTTTGGCTGTCACCCCCCTCTCCTGGCCCTGAATTCATTCAGACAGCACTGGCAAGGCCAAAACACCCTGAGAGAGGCTCCTGTCTTCCCGCAGTCTTCCATGGTGCCTCTGACCTCTGCGCTGCCTTCCCTGACTGTACCCGTATGGCCACTCCCCGCTCCCCATTCAAATCTCCTCCCCAGGTTCACCTCTGTTGCAGTGCCAATATGGAGTGAGCCATCTAACCCTGGCTCGGTTGAGGAGAGCATGGGGCTAATCGGCACTCTATTGTAAGGCGCCTGTTTCATCCTTGGGCTACGCCAGCTTTATGCTGGGGTAACTCTGTTAACTTCCTTCACTATACTGTTCTCCCCCCACCTCTCCTGTGTTGTCGGTCTTTTCAGCTTGTCAGTTAGATTGTATTTATCTAGGTACTGACACAGCTGTCATCACAACAGTCCCTGAGCGCCTCCCTGGTTAATAAAGAGAATGGCAACCAAACGTCTCTGTCTGCAGGGCAAAGGCTGTGTTCACCTTGTATGTTTGCACCGTTTTTAGCAGAATGGGGCCCTGGTTCTGTGTCGACAACTCCGCTCCTCTGGCGCAAAGGAAATTTCTACCATCAGCATAAAGCTCATCTGGGCAGCAAGACAGAACTTCCTTGGGGGCCAGGCCAAGACTGTGGAACAAAAACTTCCTAGGATCTAAAACTCTCCACCTTCAGCGCCACCTGTAAGATGCATTTCTGACATGTCTTCTCTAACATAAACATACAGCAATGCATGTCTCTAGATCTAGAGAGCATTTTAGAAATGACAACATAAAACACTGCACTACACACACTTTCCCCCCTAAGGAGAGGATGAGAGACCAAACACATGACAGATGTCACTGAACACATGGTTGGAAGGCTCTCAGATACTACAGTGATGAATATGGTAGAAGAACCTTTATAGAATACAATACAAATATTAATAATAATTTCTAACCTGGCTGAAACCAGAGAGGGATGACGTCCCCCGAGAGAGCTTTTTCTGAAGCATTTTCCAGGCCCGTGAGAGTTCGGAGACCCGTTCAAACTTATCCCAAGTGAAGTGAGCCTCTAGTCCAGCAGCTCCCAAACGTCATTGGTTCATGTTCCACTTTCTTAAAAGATGGTTGTGAAGTGAATGGAGGAAACAACAAGCTGATGTTCCCCCAGTGGTACATGTACCCAGTTTGGGACCCCCTGCTCTAGGGTATTGCTATCCCAACCCAGCAACATGCGTAGTGAGGCGCACAATGAAGGAAACCTAACTCCAACTCAAACTAACAGCCCTGAATAAAACGTGCTCAGGGATTCTTCCTGAAAACACAGCTCCTCTCCCAGCAAACCGAAAGCTGATTGAATGATTCTTTGTCGCCAGCTGAAACCAGGAGCAATGTCAATTTCCGAGCTCCCAGGCAATTGATCATTTACCTGCATGCCCATATTTAGAGAGGCAATAAGCTCATTAAGGGAATTAAGACGCTCGTTCTATCAGGTATTAATGCTGGGGGCACTTTGCTGCGTGGTTTGGTATTCACGCTCAGGGCAGGTACGTGAGAATAGTGGCTACCATTAATCCAGCTCCGCGTTAATGGAGCACCTAGGTGAAACCCAGTTGGAGGGTGAAGACAAGGTTAAAAAGCCTTTTGTTCATGGGCTGGATCCTTTATACGAATTGTTTTATTCAAAACGAATTCAGTTCTGTGAAAAATGAATATCGAGGCACAATATAGTTATGATGCAGTCAATAGGTTTAGGTGCTTTACTGTAAATGGCTAGATTCTGGTGTCTCCCTGTTGTCTTTTAAACTTTCCAAGCCCCTTCAAATTCAAGCCATCTGCTGCTAGAGACAAGGAGAGAAAAAGCTGCCAATGACTTCAGATTTTTCACATCTGCCTGCAATACATTTAAAAAAGAGCTAAAACAATAGACTGAAAATCCAGGGCCAGCTTTGGTATAGGTGGACCACGTCCATTTACACCTGCTGGGGATCAGTTCTGCAATGTATCTGAGCTTAATACTTAGACATGCTGAACATTATCATTTCGTTTCTTTCCACAGTATATATCTATGAGCACCAATCACCATAGGGCCTAGGCCTTGAGGCTATTAGGGTTTGTCTTGTCAGGGGGAAAGCCACGCAGATCAGAGGTACACACCTACAGAGGCTGATCTATAGAATTCACAAAGTGAGGAGAAAACAACCAATCCAGAGTATCCATGTGGACTGGAAATATAGGGCCAAATTGTGCTCTGTTACACTGGTGCAAATCCAGAGGAAAGCTGTTAAAGCCAATGGGGTTATTCTGCATTTACACCATGACGCTAAGAACAGATTCTGTGCTGTGAAGTTGGTCGCAGTAAGCAATTTGCTAGAGCAAATACCACTCTCCATAGTCATTAGCTGCTTTTCACCCAAGATAATGGGGGGAAAGTATGAGAAACAGCAGAACAATGATGCTAGCAGGAGCTACCAGGGGCCTAATGCCTACACTCTCTCCATTTTCTTGGCAGGGTCAGTCTGCAGGATTCCTGAGCAACCTGGCAGCTTGTTTTCTTACAGATGTGTAAACGGAAAAATCAGACGGCAGTGACACTTGGCAGCCTCTCATGGAGAAATCCATTCCATTTACCACTGGCTCATTAAACTATTTCCAGCCTTTCGCTATAGATGGAGGTTCCCTATATCAATGTCGCCTCTGAGCAGGTTGTACCATATCCCCATCACCGCAGCGGGTGTTTTAGCCTCCAAAAGGCGGATCTGCTGGGCTCTCATGATGTGGCTTTTCATTGCCTGTCCCCAAGGAGCATGACTGTCCCCTTTGGTTTCCAAAGGAACGTTCCCATTGCAGTGCCTGGATCACCCTCATCTCAACCTTACCTCCAGTGAGTCGTCAGCATTCACCATCCAACAGTCTGTCCAGGTGGCTGCTATCAAAAACCCAGCAGAGAAGAAGGCGAAGAAACACGCGACATATTGGAGAAGATACCTCATCCCAATGAGTGTCCAGCACGTCCAGGGCATAAAGAACGCCACCTCTGGGCTCAGTTCACTGCTCCTGTCTTTCAATGGCCATCAAGCGAGTGAAGTTCCCTTTTCTTTTACAAACACTAATGCTCAGCTGTACAAAACTTAATGTTGCTGCGAGAACAATACACACTGCCTGCAACCAAAGGAGGAAGGTCTGAGAGGTCATCCGAAGCAACTGAGCCCTTGCAACCAATCAGATGTGTTCAGGTACAACTCGCTATGGCTGGGCAAAAGCAACTCAAGTTATGCAGAAAGTGCATGCAGGCAATTAAAGAGTCCAAAACTTCCTTGGAATGATGGTCAGGGTTGGTACAATTTGCAGCTTGTCTAAGAGTAGGGAAGTGGTAGAAAAGGAATCAAAATGTAAGCTTCAGGATAGAAGTCTTTTTAATTGCTAGAGATCAGGAAGGAATGTGCCTCTCTCTCTCTCTCTCTCTCTCTCATGTTAGAGCACTAGGCAATTGATAAGGTGCACTTACAAAACAGGCTAGGTTTTACCTTCCTTTGAATCATCAGATACCTCTTGGTCTCTGCTGGAGGCAGGATGCTAGACTAGGTGCACTAGTGATCTGATTCAGTATGGAAATCTCTGTTACCTTTAAAAGGAAAGAGATCTTTAGGAGACAAAAACCCAACGCGCTCTTTCCCCCCAGTGAACAGAACACCCCTACCTGGGTGAACTCAGATCTGGAGCTGGACACTGCAAATGAGTCACATCAAAAAGTGGGATCCAAGTTCCGTGAGCTCGAGGTTGGACACAATCTGAATTCAGACCCATATGATGAAAGGGCTAAATTCTTCTAAAAGCTTTTTCATCTGCTCATCCTCTTCATTCGAAATTCAGGCCCCGTCTACCCTGTTTTACCTGAAGGATGCTATAGATGAGTAGACAGCTGGTACGATCTGATATGAGAGAGAGCATGTCATTAAACCTGGTTCTTTGAGAAAGAAAGTGATTTGTATTCAGACTGTTAAAAATTATTTGCGTTTTATTTAAGGCTTGTCTACATGGTGGCACAGTCCAGACAATGGAGATGTGAACTGCAGAGAGCACTAGCTTTAACTGTCCCATGGAGACCATGCTGGTGCAAACGAAAAGGTACGTAACTCCTGTTTATGCAGTTCAGTTTCAACCAGGACTACGTTATGCTCACTTGGTACCTTTTAGTTCACGCCAGCAGGGTCTACACAGGCAGTTCGAGTGCTACACATTAGCACACTCTACAGGTCATACCCCCTTAGTCCACCCTGCGCCACAGTGTAGACAAGCCCTTTTTAATCTCACACGCCTGAACAGACAGTTGAGAGAAGAGATCTGCTTGTTCAAGATTCCTCACTCACCACCACATTACTCAAGGGATCAGAACGCTCACAGTTAGGGCTGGAAATGGTTTTCTCATCCCGTGAGAATTTCTGAGGTTCCAAAAACTATCCTCAATCAGGACAAAAGGTCAAACTTTTGAAAATTTTCACAAACCAACAATCTGAAAAAAAAAAAAATCGGGTCGGATCAATTGAAAAGTTTTGTGTCAATAATTACAAAATGTTTCTTTTTGATTTCTGACCTATTTGCGGTAGAAATAAAATTACATTTCAAAAGAACTGAAAAATGGAAACTTTTTGTTTTGAACCTGTGGAAATGGGATGTTTCAGCGATTTCAGAACTTTTGTTCCTAACATTTATTCAAGTCAGAACATTCTTCTGAGGGGACCCTTTTCTGCAAACAGTTTCCATTTTCATGAATTGGCCTTTTTCAGCAAAACATTTTGTCAAAATTTCCCAATCATAATCCTAACAATCTACCCACAGTCCTTGCCTGAGACTTCCAATGAGTCCTCCAGTAAAAGCGAGGAAGACCAAGATTAGAATTCCTGCTATTTCAAAGGTACAAACAAGCAGAAATCACCACTTCTCTAATGTTTTTATTTTGGGGGGGAGGAGACATAAGTGGGAGGAAATCCCTGACTCTTTGGAGATTTGCCCATCACTAGAGAGTTTCCTGTTAGATTAAACACATGGCTGGGAGCCTGGAACTCCTTAAGTCTAATTCCAGCTCTGTTACCAACTCTCTGTGTGACTTGGGCAAGTCACTTAACCGCTCTGGGCCTCAGTTCCCTCATAGATCAGATGGAGATAATGATCCTTACCTGTCTCACAGGATGGTTGCAAAGGTTATAAGCCGATGTTAATGGAGCACTCTGAAAATAGAAAGTGCTTTATAGTGCCTAGATCCTGCAGTGATAAAATGCCACAGAGAGACAGGGCCTGATTTTAAATCAGGTTTCAGAGTAACAGCCGTGTTAGTCTGTATTCGCAAAAAGAAAAGGAGGACTTGTGGCACCTTAGAGACTAACCAATTTATTTGAGCATGAGCTTTTGTGAGCTACAGCTCACTTCATCAGATGCATACCGTGGAAACTGTAGCAGACTTTATATATACACAGAGAATATGAAACAATACCTCCTCCCACCCCACTGTCCTGCTGGTAATAGCTTATCTAAAGTGATCATCAGGTGGGCCATTTCCAGCACAAATCCAGGTTTTCTCACCCTCCCCCGCACACAAATTCACTCTCCTGCTGGTGCTAGCCCATCCAAAGTGACAACTCTTTACATAATCAAGTCGGGCTATTTCCTGCACAAATCCAGGTTTTCTCACATCCCCCCCCCCACCCCCATACACACACAAACTCACTCTCCTGCTGGTAATAGCTCATCTAAACTGACCACTCTCCAAGTTTAAATCCAACATCCCCCCCACCCCCATACACACACAAACTCAGTCTCCTGCTGGTAATAGCTCATCTAAACTGACCACTCTCCAAGTTTAAATAACTTGGATTTAAACTTGGAGAGTGGTCAGTTTAGATGAGCTATTACCAGCAGGAGAGTGAGTTTGTGTGTGTATGGGGGTGGGGGGGATGTGAGAAAACCTGGATTTGTGCAGGAAATAGCCCGACTTGATTATGTAAAGAGTTGTCACTTTGGATGGGCTAGCACCAGCAGGAGAGTGAATTTGTGTGGGGGGGTGGAGGGTGAGAAAACCTGGATTTGTGCTGGAAATGGCCCACCTGATGATCACTTTAGATAAGCTATTACCAGCAGGACAGTGGGGTGGGAGGAGGTATTGTTTCATATTCTCTGTGTATATATAAAGTCTGCTACAGTTTCCACGGTATGCATCTGATGAAGTGAGCTGTAGCTCACGAAAGCTCATGCTCAAATAAATTGGTTAGTCTCTAAGGTGCCACAAGTCCTCCTTTTCATTTTAAATCAGGTTTCCATTCATTCCAGGCCATCCTTAGGTATACGCAATATAG